AAAAAAAAATACATCTTTTTTACACAAGCAACAGAATGGATCTAGGATCATGACACGAGAGGACAGTAGCAGCAAAAACAAAATAATTTGATATCACAAACTCTAGAGGGTGTGACTCAACCTCACCTGTTGTCCAACAAACAACAATCTGGGAGTGCATAGTCTTCCACTGTTTTGCCATTCTGTGTTAACTGATAATGACGCCATTTTGTCATTTATCAATGGCAACACTTTCTGACGGATATTTTCAAGTGCTTTGAACAGACGTATATAATGCAAATCAAATGTACTATTCGGGTGAACCATCTGCATTAGGATAAATAAGAATATATTTCATGAGAATTATTTATTTTAATATACATTAAATGTTAGTCTAGACTTTATGTGTGTCTGTTCACTAACACCGACACCGACACTAACAACCTTTCAGCGTAAGCCATCAAATAAAAAAAAACATGTACTGGAATAAAAAATTTAGATTGGAACAGCTTATGAGGTTGCAGCCACAGTCGTATTATTAACTAAGCACCCAAATCTTTTGTAATACCTCTTGTAACCAATTCATTATCTGATCTTATATCAAGAGCCAGAACAAACCCTAACACTTCTAATCAAATTTGGCTTTTAAGATCAATGTCATATATGTATTATAAAATCCACTGCAATGCATCATGGGACACGCAAAGCATCATGGGATGGTAACAAGTATTCTACTTACCACCATAATATGACATACACTGAACATAAATAGCAATGTCTTAGCATGTTTGTGTTCAGCGTCTTGCCATAGCTTATGGGCTTCAGCATCACTAAGGTCTTCGTCTAAATCACGACACATTTGAAACAAAACTGCGCTGTCCGCAACAGAAATCAGATGCAGAAACAAGACCTGAGACTTTTCATCAAAATAGGCTTCTAATTTGCACTGTAATAGAAAAGGATATTGACCAATGTATGATAGATTACATGTAATTGTAACCCTAACGTAATACGACGTGATGAAGTAGGCGTTATTAGCATTTATTGTCAAAGTGAATCTACTATATTTGCTATATCAATAATGTATGCACTTATGTAAATGATGTGTCAGAGGATTTTTTATTATAAAAAAAAACTCACACTTTTGTCATCTGAATCATCAAAGTTGTTATCGTCATGGAAATAAACCTGTACAGATGAAAAACAACAATTTGCATATATATTATGAATATTTATCACATTTGTGGTGTTGACTAGATTGAAACCTCCATATGTCGAGGTATGTAAATGTTCAGTAAAACAGCCATTGCGAGCGTCGCTGCGAATTCGCAATGGCGAAAAAACAGGCGATTGCGAGTTCGCAATGGCAAAAAAATTGACGATTGAGAGTTCGCAATGCCACAAAAACAGTCGACTGAGAGTTCACAGTAACACATAAAACAAAAGGCTGATTTATATTGTTGAGCGTTGCCGCAGTGGAAAATAGAAAACAGTTTTGAAACGTCGTGTGAACCGTCAGAGGTATGCCGACAGTCAACCAA